ACCTCTGGCCTCGGCACCGTCATCTGCCTTGGAGTCTAGTACAGTCTAGGCTGCCGTCTTATTTTATCCGTCGAGCTGCAGCATCACTACACCATGTGGCAAACGATGGAAACGCTAGAAGCTAGATCCATAGTATTATTCACTTGATTTTGTCATGGTCCTCATGGACCTGGATTCCTGGAAGGCAGGCAGGAGCAGGACCCTAACAAGGAACATGCGGGGTGCTGCTTACATACGGCTTAAACCACACAATGAAATTGCTTAAGGTACTCCATAAAGTATAATCCATCGTCCCAAAATAGATGACTTTTTTTTTTTGCGAATTAAAATAGTTGACACTTTACCTATGAGAATCTAGACAATAGCTACAATGCCGTCTATTTTAGGACAAAGGGAGTAACGAGTAATCCTAAGCAAATATTATCCAGAGAAAAAGACCAATAAACAACCCACCATGGTACCGGTGTTAGCTGGATGCATCACCAGGCTGAAGATGCATCACTGGGGCTAGGAAAGTTTGTTTCATTTTTTAAAAAAAAGAAATAAAAATCACCCAACCTAGGAGGAAATAAGTTGCTTTACAATGAAAATAACACAAATCCGTCTCAACAAGGAAATAAACTAATTTGATGATCTAGACGTACACCCACACTCTTTAGTCTTTCCTTGCTTGAAAAAAAAATAAACAAACTGAAATAATTTATCCAGCTACCAGAAAAAAAAATGAATGTGTGAAAATAAAAGAGCAAGGCAGAACTCCACATAATATAGTTCAGTTTTGGTTCATCATTCAAGGAGAAATAACAGCATGTTTGGCTGATTTTTCATAAAATCTGGAACAGGTCCCTCTATTTCTGATGCACTCTACGGTCTTCGTCTCCGGACTAGTCTTCGCCACTTATTTCTGCTGGAGGCTGGCTCTGGTTTCTTTTCCTCTGGTCCTGCTTCTCATAATCCCGGGGCTCATCTACGGCAAGTACCTTCTCTACCTGTCCCGCCAGTCACGCCATGAGTACGCCAAGGCGAATTCCCTGGTCGAGCAAGCTCTGGGCTCTATCAAGACCGTTTACTCCTTCACAGCCGAGAAAAGGATCATCCAGAGGTACACGGCAATCCTTGACAAGACGATCAAGCTGGGGATCAAACAAGGCATTGCAAAAGGTCTTGCTGTTGGGTTCACTGGCCTCTCTTTCGCCATTTGGGCCTTTCTCGCATGGTACGGCGGCAGATTGGTGATGTTCCATCATGTAAGTGGTGGAAGGATATATGCTGCTGGGATTTCATTCGTCTTGGGTGGCCTGTATGTTTCTTGTATACTCTTTATGCTTTACTGACTTCATGACTCCATTTGATCATGTAGAAATAGAAGCTTAACTAACGATTTTTTACTGAATGTTGCAGATCCCTTGGAATGGCACTCCCTGAGCTGAAACATTTCACTGAGGCATCTGTTGCTGCCACAAGAATCCTTGATCGGATCAACCGTGTTCCCCAGATTAATGCTGATGACCCAAAAGGCCTTATTTTGGACCAAATTCGGGGAGAGCTCGAATTTGAGTCTGTCCGTTTTGTGTACCCATCAAGACCAAATATGCCAGTCCTCAAAAACTTCAACCTCCAGATTCCTGCTGGGCAAACTATTGCTTTGGTTGGGTCCAGTGGCAGCGGCAAGTCAACAGCAATAGCTTTAGTGCAGCGCTTCTATGATGCCAGTGAAGGAACTGTCAAAATTGATGGTTTTGACATCAAAGAACTCCAACTCAAATGGATCAGGAGCAAAATGGGACTAGTCAGCCAAGATCATGCATTGTTTGGTACTTCAATAAAAGAGAACATCTTGTTTGGCAAACCAGATGCAACCATGGATGAGGTTTATGCAGCAGCCATGACAGCAAATGCTCACAACTTCATAAGGGGGCTTCCAGAGGAATATGAGACTAAGGTACGCGCATCAAAAGAGAAAAGGAACATTCAGCCACCTTAATTCCATGTCTCATACTTATGGTCCATTCTTGCAGATCGGTGAGCGTGGAGCATTGTTATCAGGTGGCCAAAAGCAACGTATTGCCATTGCAAGGGCGATAATTAAGAACCCTGCTATACTCTTGCTCGATGAAGCCACAAGTGCACTTGATTCAGAATCAGAAAAGTTGGTACAGCATGCACTTGATCAAGCATCTATGGGACGAACAACACTGGTAAATTGCCACTGCTTCCACTCTTCATATTTTATAACCCTTATATCAGAACTTCTTGAATTACTTAGCACTGCATCTTTTTTAAGAGAAAATCATTTGACATTGAATGCCTGATTATTCATTAACAATGGACAGGTAGTAGCTCATAAGCTCTCAACCGTGAAGAACGCTGATCAGATTGCAGTAGTTGATGGGGGTACAATAGCTGAAATTGGTACACATGATGAACTGATCAGCAAGGGTGGCCCGTACTCGAGACTTGTGAAATTGCAGAAGATGGTAAGCTACATCGATCAAGAAAATGAACAGTTTAGGGCTTCCTCAGTGGCCAGGACAAGTACCAGCCGTCACAGCATGTCCAGAGCAAGTCCAATGCCACTAACACCAGCTATTTTAAAGGAAAATAATTCTGATGTTCCTCCACCTGCACCATCTTTCTCCAGGCTTCTTGCAATGAACGCACCTGAGTGGAGGCAGGCAGTCGTAGGCAGTTTGTCTGCATTGGTATATGGTTCCTTGCAGCCCATCTATGCCATAACCATTGGAGGAATGATTGCTGCATTCTTTGTTCAGGACCAAAATGAGATGAATGCAATTATCAGACGCTATGCCTTGATCTTCTGTTCACTGTCCTTGGTATCCATTGTTGTTAATCTATTGCAACACTACAATTTTGCGTACATGGGGGAGCATCTTGTTAGGCGCATCCGGGTCCAAGTACTTGAGAAGATCTTAACCTTTGAGGCAGCATGGTTTGATGAAGAAACTAATTCAAGCGGTGCATTGTGCTCTCGGCTAAGCAATGAGGCTTCTCTTGTCAAAACCCTTGTTGCAGACAGAATATCCTTACTGCTTCAAACAGCTTCCGGAATTATAATTGCAGTGACAATGGGCCTGATGGTAGCTTGGAAACTTGCTCTTGTCATGATAGCTGTACAGCCATCTACAATGATATGCTATTATGCAAAAAAAATGGTTCTCTCAAATGTGTCAAGGGACTTGGCAAAGGCTCAGCATCAAAGCACCCAGATAGCCATAGAAGCTGTTTACAACCACAGGATGGTAACCTCCTTTGGATGCTCATCGAAGGTTCTTCAGCTATTCGAGCATGCACAAGAGGAACCCTTGAAAAAAGCAAGGAAGAAATCATGGGTAGCAGGGATCACCACAGGGTTGTCACCTTGCCTCTCGTTCTTGTCATGGGCACTGGACTTCTGGTATGGTGGGAAGCTGGCACAGTCTGGGGAGATATCAGCGGGTGATGTTTTCAAAACCTTTTTCGTGCTGGTGAGCACAGGAAAGCTGATTGCTGATGCTGGTAGCATGACATCTGACCTGGCAAAGGGAGCAAATGCAGTTGCTTCAGTATTTGAGGTGCTAGATAGGAAATCCATCTCTCCAAAAAATTCACAGGTAACAAACTCATTCATAAGCATCATACAGAATACATATCGGCAAAGCAGTTATGCAAGTATAGAATGATTTTACAACGCTGTCTTGCTATGAGTGAGAATAATATGCATCTATTTTGCAGGTGGAGAAGGAAGATCAGAAGAAGAAAATAGAAGGTAGAATAGAATTCAAGAAGGTAGATTTTGCATATCCAACAAGACCAGAATGCCTTATCCTACAGGATTTTAGCTTGGACGTGAAAGCAGGAACAAGTGTTGGCCTGGTTGGGAGAAGCGGATGTGGTAAATCAACTATCATAGGTTTGATCCAGAGGTTCTATGATGTTGATAAGGGGTCCGTTAGAATTGATGGTATGGATGTGAGGGAGATGAATATTCTTTGGTTCCGAGGATTTACAGCTCTTGTTAGTCAGGAGCCTGCAATGTTTTCAGGCAGTGTCAGGGACAATATTGCTTTTGGTAAACCAGAAGCTGATGAAGATGAGATTGTGGAAGCTGCAAAAGCTGCAAACGCACATGAGTTCATCTCGTAAGTCTTTTGACTTGTTTCTATTCCAAACTTATATAGATATTGCAAGCATGCCTTTTATTTCAACTCGCATTGTCCAACACAAGGAACTAAGTTGATTACTTTTCAGATCTTTGAAGGATGGATACGATACTGATTGCGGAGAGCATGGTATACAGCTCTCAGGGGGGCAGAAGCAAAGAATCGCAATTGCAAGGGCAATAATCCGGAATCCAGCAATACTACTACTTGATGAAGCAACAAGTGCACTTGATGCACAGTCAGAGCAAGTGGTGCAGGAAGCTCTTGATCGAATAATGTCAGGGAGGACCACAATTGTGGTGGCACATCGACTAAACACAATCAAGAATGTAGACTCGATTGCTTTCCTGGGAGAGGGTAAAGTGGTGGAGCGTGGCTCTTACCCGCAGCTCATGAACAAGAAGGGGGCATTCTACAACCTTGCAACTCTTCAGAAGTAACTGATTGTATGTCATGTAAACTATTATATCTAATGAAACTCCTGCAGTAATTGATATGATAGCTAGGCTACTATAGCACAGATGCAGCACTCCTAAGCTAGTTTTCAAGCAACTCTTTCAATAATCAGTTAATATATATCTGGCACAATCCTCGTCTTTCAATGTTTCTGGTGGGCTAAGACAGGCAAAAAGATATAAAGAAATGATAATATGGCCTGGCTAAAAAAACTATGAAGGAAAAGCAAGCATTATGAATTTATGATGCATGAATCATCATGTTTTGTCTTCTGATAACATATGTGAGCTTCAACAGAATGAAAAAGAATGTTCATGAAAGGACTTACCATGAAGTGACCACAGCCAGAAAATAAATAATTGTAAGCAAACGCTTACACCTTCTTTACTCTTTCTTGAAGTTGATATTTAGAAGATTTCCCTTGGAGAGTTCAATCTCCTTACTCATATTATCCATCTCTACCTTAACCAATGCACCTACGTCAATTGATCCAGATTCAGTAGAGGCTAGGTGCTCTTTTACGCAACCAATAGTCTGCTCATGGCTCTTCAGAGCCATCTTAACCCTAACCTTTTCCATTATAGACTTCTGATATACAGTCTCATGCTCAGCAACTTGATGTGCCAATTTTTGCATTTCATCGTCCTTAGTCATACAGGCCTGCTGCAGGTCCTTGATACCGTCCTTAATGGCATTCAACTTTTTCTTGTGTTCTTCAAATGTCGAGAAAAAAATGCTAGCGTCAGTCGTTGCTTTCTTGTAATCTGATTCCAAGGAAGTGTATGTAAGTTCTAGTTCTTTAAGCTGCCACTTCAGGAGATCCTGCAGCTTTGCAGAGAACTCTTCCTTCCTCATCTCAGTATTGAAACTCTGTCTCCCCTTGACCTTTTTAGCATACTCCAACATTGCATTTACTATCTTATGGGCATCCTTGTCCTGAAGGCATAAATCCCATTTAATAATTTCTATCCGCACAGTGGCTTCAATTACATCTGCACTAAGCACATCTAAAGGATCATCCTGGATGATTTTCTGGATGCGTGCAATGGTGTTCACGAAGTTATCTCTTTGAATGTCAAGTAAAACTTTCTCAAGGGGACTGGCATGTTGTGAGGGCTTCCATGTAAATGATAGCTCATTTATTCTTGAACATGCTATCAACCTAGAGTTGGTTGGCAATGGCTCTACGCAATATGTACTCATGAATGACTCAGAATTTCCCATAGCATCTCTTCCCAAATGTTCTTTACAGTTTTCTCCATCATTGACTTGATCCAACATTTTGCCAGTATCTCCTTGATCATGTTCATGCTCTTTACTTAAGCCAACCTCACACCGTGGGGAATCCAGTATCCTGAGGTCCTGAGATAAGGAACCTAGATAGGCAAAAGTTGATATAACTGAAGTTTGAGATGTTATAAAAAAGTTCTAACAAAGAGCAACCAAAAGATTTTTTTTTAACACAAGAGCAACCAAAAGATCACCTGTTGCTTCTTCATGAACTGCTTTCAAGGCATTATCTAGTTTCTCATGAAGCGAACATGATTTATGTGCTCTATCCTTCACCTGATTTGTTGCATCTGGTGGTGTTTTAAGCACTTTGGCTCTTCCTTTCCACACTTTTTTGTTGTTGTTACAAGTATTGTTCGTGTGTGTCAATCGTGGTGATCTTCTTGGTGTTTGAGTTTGCAGTGAGTTTCCCTGCAACTTAACTATTCTCTTCTGTCGATGAGACAAGTCACAAGGTTTATATTCATCAACTAGCCTCCGTTTCACTGGTGCCACTATCAGGTCACGTTGTAGTGGTTGATTAGACAAATTAGGTCCCTCAATATTGTTCTTTTTGATTCTCTCAGAATCATAATCTTGAGGGAAGAAGCGCTGTAGTTGTCCCTTTACAAAGTCAACTGAAGACAAAAAGGACAGCCGTGTTAGCATTAGCAATGCAAAAATGAAAGACCATGAAGTAATAAAAAACTTACACTGCAAAACAAATTTCTGCTTCAGAGATTGTTCCAGAATTTGTGGTTTGCCCCTACAAACATTAAAATATTCTGCAGCTGCCTCAACTTTCCATTTATACAAACAGAGTATAGCACAGAATAACTCTACTGTCAATTTGTCAACACGCAAAGTTCTTATTACTTCTGCTACCGCTTTAGCTTTATCATCCTCCGTTGTCTCACTCTGTGACAAGTATGTCTCCAAGTAATCTTTGGAGCAAACTACTTCATGCAAGTCAAGGAAACCAACTGTGCCCTGGGATGAAATGTGTTCATTCCCTTGAGTGTTTCGTTGCATGGTATCTGTCTAGAAGATGTATACAAAACTATCAGTTAAACAGACAGGATTAGAAGTAAGGCAGTATCAACATTTTAAAATGAATGCTCCCTGTTGAACCAAAAAGGTACTCCATTCGTTTCATTCCATAAGGCATATTTGTCTATCTGATGGAAATCATAAAAGATACAGGTACATACCATACTAGTTTTTTTTTTTTTAAAAAAATCAATTCTATTGCCTACAGAGCTATGCGTGATCAAATACAAAAACTTTCATCTCTTTGTTAACTCTCTTGATATTTGTCACTGGTTGGATTATGCTGTATGAAAACAAACATAGTATGATGAAAAACTGAAGCTAGGGCAGCAGTCTAAAGTGATGTGAAATAATTCTTTTGAACGATAAGCTTCTCTAGCCAACAGCAATTTCATGAAGATCATCATGCGTAATATGACTCCAAATTTAAAGTAGACTTACAAAATATGCAAAACTAACTTATCTAAGACCATGTTAACAATAAGGCGACTCGATGTGAACTAGAGAGTTGGAAGAATGCATATACTCAAAGAACCCATATGAATTGATCTAATTATTTCCTCAAAACTAGACTACTTGCGTTCCTACATAAGAGTGATCCAGTATATCAACCTGACAGTGAGTATGCATACGACTCTTAACTGTCTCAGTTAATTCATTGCCACTATGCCCTCCCTTCCTAGAAGGGATGATAGGACATGGGAGTTCTCCTTCTAAATTCTCCGTAGCTTGGGCGCCACTTCCTGAAGACCAACCTGACTTCTCAACAGCATTCACACCAAAAAACGAGACCATGAAATGCATTCTCCCATAGTACTTGAAGATAAGGAATTCACCCTTCCCCAAACAGTTGTCCTCCACAAACTTTGGCCATCCAGTAGTCAGAAACACGCGGCCGTCAATTTCCTCTAGCTCAACAGGCCAAATATTCCCTTGAGCATTTGTAAGGACAACTTTAGTATATGCCACCACTGTAGTGCCAGACTCTCTGTGTCTCCCCTCTGGAAAATGACAGAGGAAGCCTTGAGGTATCTCCTACATGCAGAAACAAGGTTAGGACGAGCTAGTTCCACTAGAGTAGTTAACCGAAAAGGCGAAAATGGCACTTTATGATGATGTCAAAGATTGGTAGTCATTAGAGACTGAAATGCAGTGGTTTTTAACATTTGACAAACCAGTAGGGTGCCATTTTTAGGGCCGGATGAAAGCATCATGAAGGCAGTGGCACCACCTAGTCTTTAACTAGTCCTATAGTAATACCAGACATCATGATTGCCACCTGGCGTTACCAACCTGTTGCCCTTTTTAGTTCTGAATTTTCTTTTTACATGAAACATGCCTGAATCCCATCTGTTCGAAGAAAAATCACAAAACCCATAGGCATGCACATGCAGATAATCCTCTACTCATCCGTCAGCAATCCACAAGGGAACGGATGCAATGCCAGCGTTTCGGCCGGATCAAAGACCGCAGTTCTCCGCAAAACACACGGCACGAACCCTCTCCGACCAGGCCTGCGAATGCGAACACCTATACGGAGGGGGACGCGCGGCGGGAAGAGGAGGAGGGAGGGCTACTTACGATTCGGCGCGCGAAGTCGACAACGAGGACCTTGAAGAATCGAGGCCTCCTCGGCTCTTCCATGAGCAGAGACCAAACAGCGCAGAGCCGCAGACAACCAGGACTGGGAAACCAAAGGAAACGTTGCAGTTGCAGGTGGGAGGAGAAGCAGGCGATGGAAATGGAACCGAGCCGAGCAGCTGGCTTGTTGTCTTGCTGATTTGTTTGTTTGGTCCCTGGTGGAGTGGTGGGTGGTAAAGCTACTAAAAGCCGGAGAGTGAATGAGCGACTTGATGATGGCACATGAGCGTCGCATCTTTTCTGGTCGAAAAGCTTCTTTTTGTTGGCACGACTTGTCACGCGCACCTGTGGGCTGTGGTCTGCAGGTGGCGAACGACGCGCGTCCGCCAGACCAGCCGGCCACGGTGCTCCTATTTTCAGGTGACTAGACGAGAACTGTTTGTTTGCCAAGGCCCGGCCCGGCCCGCAGGATGCAACAACAGCTGGGCTTCGCGCGCGCGGGCTGTCGCCGTGGGCCTTCGCGCCACGCTCGACCAGCTCCAGCAGCAACCCGCCGGCGCAGGTGGCGACGGCGTTGGAAACGCGGAGGAGACACCCTCGCCGTCGGGCCTTCTCGTTGCCGACGTCCTGCTGTGGTGAGGAAGGGGGCACTGGTGTGTTGTTAGCGGGGCAGCGGTGTACTCACGGTAGTGGTGTGTTCGATGAAATGCAAACAAGGAGAGAGAACGGAGAAAGGGCGGTGGTATATAGTAGCCATACCCATTTGTACAGTGCTAAAAGCAAATAAACACGATCTTTTTCTAGTCTGGCTTATTCTGGTAAAAACAAACACACGAGGTTGCACGAGACGAGGTCAAGCTGCCCTAGGCCAGGCCAGTCGTCCGTACTGGACAAGACCAAGCAAACAAACAAGCCTTGAGAGTTTCAGGTGAGAAACTTAGAAAAGATTTCCAGTTTTTAGGTGAGGCACATTGTACAAGTTTCGAGTTTTCTATACGAGTTGTAGTATCCAATGCCACCGTATGTTTCGTCATAAGAGCAAGGTCAATATATATCTAAGTATTTCGCTATAAGTTAAATTATATCTAAGGGCCTGTTTGGCACGGCTTCCGCCGGCTCCGGCTCCGCCTGACAAAATCTGCGCCGATCACTGTAGCGATGAGCCGGTTTTCTCTCTCCATCTTTTCTGTCTCACTGTAGCGGGGGGGGTACTGTAGCATGCGGGAGATGAAGCCGGAGAAGCCAGGAAAACGAGCTTCTCCGGCTCTGATGAACAGTGCGAGTGTCAGTGAGAGGGAGAGAGGAGGAGAGAGGAAAGCCGCTTCTATGAACAATCGCTACAGTGTCGGTGTCAGGGAAGCCCGAGCCGGCGGAAGCCGTGCCAAACGGGCCCTAAGTATTTCGCTATAAGTTAAATTACAAGAACCAAACTATACAATAGTTGTCTTCTATTTGTCCATAATTTTTTATTATTATTATGTGGTAGCATATCTCACATCTCTTTCATATTCCTCACCTACACTTTTATCTGGACCCATCATTATCTATACTTCCGTATCCAGCTTATTGCTTGCACGAGGACAACTATAATAATGATGACTGAACTAGCTTTAAATATATTATTTTATATTTTAATATAAAAGAGAGAAGAGTTATCTCTTGATCAAGAGCCAGTTTCGTGCATGCATTCTAATATTATGTGAGTATCAAATGGACATATTCATGTTGTAAGGTATGTGCTAAAAGCTAACATTCAATATAGAAGTTGTTTTGAGCTAGTAATTAGCTCATACTATTGAGGATGTTGTAAGAGCCAAACTCTTCTTTCTCATCTCTTATCTCCTTCGTATCAGCAAAAATACTGACTAGTTTAGCTATAAGACTATTTTTGTGCTTGCTCTGGTTATTCCAGCTTATCCTCGTGCAAACCTGACAGCCCGTAGGAAGCAGTGCCAGGCTGCCAGCAGCAACACGCCAAATAGTGAAGTGGATCTGATCGTCTGAAATCCTAAAACCCAACGGAACAAAAACAGACCATATGCAAGTTGGCAGATTACTGAAACTTATTCGAGAGTTTTATTTATAGAACACAGATCGACACTTGACTTGCTCAGTCAAATTATTGAACAGGCAATCCTACGACTATGAATGCTTTTCGCCAAGAAGACGCTGCAGTGAAGATCTGCCATTTTAAGGTTCTCTATTTCTAGTAAATACATTGCGATATGCTCTATAGCTGTCGGAAGGAAAACACCAAATTCCTCAAAGAAAAAAGAAAGAAAAATGAACTGAATAGTCAACAATATCCCAAGGGATCGAGCAGACCAGATTTTCCTAAATCTGGAGAGCAGAAGCAATAGGTCCGGCCAGACTTAGAATTTCAAATGGCCGCCTGCCCTTCACCGCGTTGACAGTAAGGGGGCATGAATCAGTAAGCCAAAAGTGGCTCAGGCCATGCTCCGGACCCTCTGAAAAAATTACAAAAAAAAAAGGTTTTGTATTATCATCAGGAACATGAGTGGCACATTATTCACACATATAAAATAGGTTCTGAAGTACTGAAAGCTCCAAGAATGCCTTGGAACAAGTGTGCCTCCCCAACATTCTTTGGGCAAGGTAAGCATGTGATACAGTGATAGGAAGAAGGAAAAAACTGTATTTTCAAAAACAAAGTTAATACAGAGTTAGATGGAACCCTGAAGGAGAATCAACAACATTTGGGAAAAATCAAAGGAATACTAGGTGGTGCTTATTATCAACTCTGTGTCTCTAGTCTCTACCATATAACGGTATTAGAACACTGAAACTTTTGTTTTGTCTGCTTCTGCATCCACAAAAGGTTAGGGTGAAAGGAAAATCATTGATAAGGGTTTACGGGTCACAAGGGGAGCTGGAAGTCAAACTCTTTTTCTGTGAGGAACTGAAATCATCTTGTTCGCCTGTGATTGAAAATGATTAGGTTTTCTTTTTTGTATTCTTCAGGATTTCATTCCATGCAAGCCATTTAAACATGGAAAAGTTTTGCCTTAATAAGAAATATGAGTCTTCCCTTTAGTTTCTATTTTGTTCTTTGGAAAAAGTAAACCAATCAGTTGCTTAGTCAAAAAATGTTAGATGAGCGAAAAAAATAGAATGTTACTCCCTGAAAAAGAAGAAGAAGAGGACAAGTACAAACAGCGAAACAGAAGTCCTACCAGCCAATCTATCATGCATCTCTTTGTAGATAGTATAAAATTAAAAAGGTGTCAGCTGAGAGAAACTGAACTACTAAAATGCTTACTTAGCTTGTTTTCTATTCAGTAACTCCAGAAAGAAAATAATAGCAATGTGGAAAATTTAATAGCATGCTAAGGTAATGAAGAATATGTACCTCCATTATCATGCTGAAATTTCTCCCATGAGTTATTGGGGAAAATGCCATGTGTCACGTATGCACTGACCTTTGCTGCTCCATAAGCAGCTAGTACTTTCTGGACAGGAAAAATGAATGTTAAATTGCAACTCTCAAGGGAATATACATAATTAAGCCATTATAAATTGTTTCTAAAAAAATAAGGCATAAATGTGCGCACCCGAAAGACCAGAAAATATTGAAGATCATCAATAGTCACTATACATGGTATAGAAAAATAAGTCACATACAATTCTTTTACCTGGCACTCAATCAAAGTACCACCAGACTGAACCAAGTCATCCACTATAACAACATGACGGCCTCTAGGATCACCCTCTTTTATCCGTACAATTCTTTGCTCCCCTTCTCTAACTTTGTTACATACAACCTACAAAAAGCATTTTATGAAAACACTCCACTAAGAAAGGGGCTATCCTTTTTGTTTCATGCTTTGGAGTTGGAGGCAGTACTCAAACAAAAACATACCATAGGAAAATGTTGAAGTTGCTTATAGAAGCGCTTCCATGCACCGTCATCTGGAAATGCTATGGTTATCTGATAAAGATATTAAGGATTGTATCAGATAAGACAATGCACAACATCAACAAAATAAAAATTGTTGTTCACTTAGTCAGTACTCACATTATGGGAATCAGGTAGCTCCTGAAGCCTACTTTTTAGCAAGGGGATGCCACTCTCAAAACATGGTAAGACTGAGTCTCCAAAGTAGAATCTCTCCTGATGTGTTATTAAGCACAAGGTTATTTACACACTGATGTTAATATTTTTGACATACCAAGACAAGAAGTTCAATGAATTATATGTAATAATTTTACTTGCCTGCAAAGCATGGATATCAAAAATTACTAAACTCGAAGGTCCACCTCGTGATATTGGTATATTTGACAAAAATCTGGCAAGTGTAAAGGCGGTTGCAACATCTCCTTCATCTTCCATGCGCTCAGAAGTCCCGGTTGGGAAAAACGGGAGTATAAGAGTAAATGAAGAAATAAACAACTTTGGCAGATTATATATGACAGATAGTTGCTCAAATATGACACTGGGTGAGCTAAACGAAGCCAAAAAGGCAACATGTTGCCCACGAATGTTGTGGGCGTTCGAGATGAACAAATTCGGGTATCCATCGGGAAATTTCCTGAAAAAATAGTACCAAAGTTAGAATAAGAGAGAAGGTTGGTTTACTTTTGCTGAAACAAAAAGTTGCTGCTGAGGTAGGACATACAAAATAATCTGAGAGAACAAATGCGACTGCCACCTATAAATAAAATAAGAGTACTCATAAAATAACTAAGCTAAGAACATTCGAGTGGTTCATTTCAAACCTAGGCCATTCACTGAAGCAATCACGTAAGTAATGGTCAACTGGAGCCTATGGTGGTTTCATATTATCGGTGGCTTGAATGTAGCAGGCTCGTGTTGTCCTAACTCCTAATCACAATCACAACACAGCTCCTAAAACATTGTACAGCTTGCACTCAATAGCCATCTTTTGTTGCATAAAGGCCAACAAAGACTCAAAGAGTATAGATTAGAGTAGTGACAAACTAATTGTGAAACCTACTAGTATTTGGTCAGCACTGCCCCAGCAAACGGTGACATATATTCATACTGACTAATTTTCCACCCGCAATTTCCTCCCTGTTTCAGTGTTTCCCCTGAACGTCATTCATCGTCTAGAGGGTAAAGGTAAAATGTCATATTGCGTTTGTTTGTCCGTGCAGAGTTTAATCTTGTCAAACTTGGCAAGAAACCGGTACCACGACTCCTTCGCTAGACGCAATTAGAGCCCCGGTTGTGAACCGATCGAACGAATTCCTATTCCGATGTCATAATCGATAACTAACAGTAGCGTTCAACAAGGAGGAAAAACAACAGCAACAACATGATGCTGGAAGAGAAGGGAAGGGGAAGATGATGTGACCTCCATGAGATGGAACGCAGCTCGATGTCATCGTTCCGGGCGACCACCTGCTGCGCGAGGTCCCGCATCTCCTCGCAGTAGAAGAGCAGGACGTTCTTGTGGGGCTTCATGGAGCCGGCCATCTTGGGCACGGCGAGCGGCGCGATCGTGGGGGGCACGTGGAGCCCGGTGCCGTTGCCGGCGGCGGCGGCGCTGCTGCTGCTGGCCGCCGCGCCCACGCCGCCGAGGTGGAGGCTGGCGCGGGACCTGCCGCAGGCGGGGGTGCGCGGCGAAGGCCTCGCGAATGCGGGGCTCGGGGTCAGGGCCCGGTGCGTGCTCAGCCCACGGGCTGGGGCTGGGGTTTTGGCGCCGAACGCGCCGGGGGAGGCGGAGGCGGCCGTTGCCATCCGCCGCACGCCGCGGTAAGGGGGAGGAGGTTGTTAGCGAAGAGCCCAAATAGCCGCGGTGTTGGCAGACGAGCCGGACTGTGCGATGGATCTTTTTTGCGAGATAACGTAACTTATAGCGGTGGCCCGGTGGGGTTGGATGAACGTGTTTGGATGTAAGGGCAGCAGCGTAGGCGCGCCGGCGCCCGGTGGTGGGTGCAGGCGGAGCCACCGCGGAGGCGTGCAGCACTGGCACTGCAGCGCGCGAGGCAGCCGGCAGGCGAGCGCGGGAGTCTGTTGTCTGTTGATGTGTGCAGCCGATACAGATCCCGACCGCTGCTGGCTTTTGTTGGGTTGCGGCAGCAGATGCACGAATGCACGATCGCGAAACGTGTTCGGGTCCGCGTCGACTGTTGTTTTTGTCTGACACGATAAGGCTAAGGGCCCGATCGTGGAACGTGTTCGGGTCCGCGTCGACTATTGTTTTTGTCAGGCACGGTAAGGCTAAGGGCACGTTTGGCTCGCGTCCAACACGTGCCGCAGGTCGCCGCGCCGTAAGTGCGGCACGCCACGTCAGCAAAACACCCGCGCCGCTGTTCGCCAAAGGTTTGGCAGCCGCCGGAGCTAGTTCATTTTAGGGCCAAAGCTCGTCAAATGTCTGGCGGATGAATCGTTCGCCAAACTCACGGCGCGGCCACAGGTGTGGTGTGCCAAACACGTCCTAACTTATAGGATTAGACACCACGTGGAGGAGACGAAGAGGTAAAAAAAACACTCTCCCTGTGCCTAAAATAAGTGTATTTTTAGATTCTATACCGATCATTTTTTTTCTTTCTAATTTTGATTAGATTTGTAGAAAATATTAGCAACATTTGTATCTCTAAGTAAATTTATTATTATTACTAGATATATACCCGTGTGTTGCATGGAGCGATGAATTTGTATCAATGTGTATAACGATGCACGTGGCTTATGATTTAGTCAAACATATATTAACAATTTTGTATCCATGCCTACGACGATGTATATGGCTTATGGTTTAGGCGAACATATTAAGAAATATATAAATTTAATTACATAAAGCATATTTCACGACCTTTATATGACATACCGTGTAGATCTTTTGGTACACATAAACTTATAAAAATTGGTTTCATTTTTTAAATTAGTATTTTTGTGATTTATTATTATACGTTTTCAAAATTAATATAAACCTAATAAACATTTTTTGCATGGAACCCGGAAACCCTAAACTATTTGTAAATTCATTCAGGTTTTTCTTCTTTTTTTTGGTAGACTAATGAGCCACGTTGTTACGTGCGGGCATCACGGGAATCACCACTCAACGGACTCGTCTGCTACGTGCGGGCAGTAATTCTATCCGTTCGGCCCACGGCACGTCGTTCCTTCGTTCCTCCTTTCGCACGAGGGCGAGTGGGCGTGCGACCACCTCCCGGCGCCCTCTTCTTCCTACGCCTCGCCGCGAGCGAGCTCCAGGCGCTGACGCGGTGGCGTGCCGCCACACCTCATGTGCACACGCTTCGGCCGCGCACGACTACCGAGGCAGCGGGTGGCGGGACGAGCGTTGGCAGTGCCGCCCGCCCGCCGGCGTCTCGACACTGGTGAATGGAGGTACCGCCAAGTCGCTTTGCATCTATGAATGAGACGGACGGGGTTCTTTTCCCGGCATACGCCGGACTACGCACGGCGTTGCGGTGGCAGTGGCCGCGGCCGCGCCTGGCACAGGCTGGAGCTAGGGAGTGCGCGCGGTGAAGTGGAGCGTGGTCGATCGGTCCGTGGGTATGGGTTGTTGCGATCGTTCGTTCAACCGGCATGCAACTCCGCTTCCGATTTATACGGAGTATGTTAAAATTAAAAGGAAAAAAGAGAAGAAAGACAAATATATATATATATATATAGTATATTAATATCCTAAAAAGATAACTTGTAGGAATTGTTGTGAAAATAAGTTATTCTATTGCCACCTCACGATAATTTTATATACTAATTTACGATAATGTCAATACATATTTACGATAATAGAGTTACTATAACACATGGGGATATTTACCATAATGTTATAGTAAACCCCTAAGTAAGGAGTTACTATAATCTTATAAATTAACATAATAATTATCATAACTCAAAATGGCTACAGAATAAGTTATTTTTTAGCCATATAGCTGTTTCGGGCGAGCACGCACACCAATTACCTGTGCACGAAACCCTCTGGCTTTTTTTAGGTGGTAAAATAGATCTGTTTGGTGAGGTGCATGACAACCGAGTCTGAGTCCTATTCCTATTATCTGTTTGGAGTTCGGAGGCTTCTGAGGCGTGGTGTAAGAGGTCGGTCGCCCGTGACGCGTGCGTCCCGGTTACTGCGTTCGTTGGTATTAAAGTAAGCCACAGGTGAGCACATACTTTGTTGTGAGAAAAAATATTGCATCGTAGATTCTTTAGTTGATAAGGTTTTGTCTAGGACGGTGATAAATTAAAAGGTTGGTCCGGCTAGTGCGAACAGGCCTTATTGTTAGCCTGGACGAAAGGCAGTCCTGTTCGTGTTTGTATTCGTATTCATATTCGTATTCGGAGGCCCACGCACGATGTTAGCCTTGGACGAAAGCCGTTGGTACTTTTTAGATAGTATAGTATATAACAGATAAAAGTGTATTCAAGAAATTAATCTAGTAGTATTTAAAATACACCATAAATACTAATAATTTCTTATATATATGGTCAAAGTTAAAAATATTTTATTTATTGGAAACTGATAATAGCATTTATTTTAGAACTTAGGGAGTGCCATTTGCATTTGGTGCGGCTCCCAATCCCAGGCGCTTTGGCTCTCGCTTCCAAAACGAGCATTGTTCGAGTACCATAGCAAAGAGCCACTCCGATTAAAAAAAACACTGGGAAACGGAGGAGCTGTATATCTGAGTTTTTTTTCTACTACAGTACTGATACAATGTAACTAGTGCAACAATATAAGTTTATTAATATTCATTGACGTTACTCGATGGGTGGTGTTTAATCCGATTTGGAAAACCGGACCACGTTTCTTCAAAAAATCTATATTTAGGCCCCCTTGACAATTTTAGTTGTCAATCGGTGTCCAAATGACTATTGTTTAGCGTTTATGACAACAATGATGCACAAGCAATATAAACACCACACACAATAGACGTAGGACACTCTGTCTAAATTAGTATAATCTCCATGTCCCATGTGCTACCCCGCTAGATCTGGTACATAAAAATCACTAGCGCCACCCCATCTTTATCCTCACATGAGTCTTGCCCGAAGTTGTTGTAGCCTCCCCTACTCCTCCCCATGGCGGCCATGCCCTCCTTTGGCCTGAGCCCACGCCCAGTCCCTCCTTTGGCCAGTGCGTCCTACCTCAAGTGGTCGTGACTAGTTCGCCACCTACGATAGTGTTTGCCCTACCTCACTCGGCATGTTGCGTCAAGGATCATTGCCCCTCCTCATGTCATGACCTTGTTGGCGCCCGCCCCTCTTCATGTCGCGCACTCATCTTTTCTTCCTTTATTTATTTTGATCCGTTTGATGTTCGTTGGCATGATTCTAACAGAATAGGCTAAGATACTAACCAAAGTGCTAAGAAAGAAAGAAAAGAAAAGTCAGAAGCTACCTACGCCTATGGATGAAACTTTTTGGTGCATGTCATGTTGTCCTGTTCGGATGTGGTCGAAAACGATAGCTGCAGCCATCAGCTAAGTGATTTGTGAGGAGGCTGGTAACTACAACAGCAGAACACAGGTTTCAACTGCAGCCGAACAACCCATTATTTTTTTTAGGTCTGGTTTAGATTGCAAATTTTTGCAATCTGGACACTATAGCACGTTTCGTGTGTATTTGACAAACTTTGTCTGATCATGAACTAACTAGGCTCAAAAGATTCGTCTTGTGATTTACAACCAAACTGTGTAATTAGTTATTTTTTTTTACCTATATTTAATGCTTCATACGTACGTTCAAAAATTAATATAATGAAGAGAAAGTAAAAAACCTTGAAATTTTGAGACACTCTAAACAAGGCCTTACACCAACAACAACGCAGCCACATAGGAACAACAGCCTCGTAAAAAAGTACAGATCCATGTAGGAGCAGATGAATTAAAATCTCACGCCTCTCCAATGCGGGTGAATGAATACCTGACACTTGCATCCCTGGTTCCACCACTGTCGTTTTCTTTCACTTTCCCCACTCTCTCTCTCTGACTGTCATCCATCTTATGTATAGGTAGTGCTACATGCAAATGTTTAATATTTATTTTTGGTTTTCTCTAATAATAAGACCTAAAATAGAATTATTTTTATAAATAGATCTCAAGGAGAGAGGATACTTAGATTTAGATTACATCTTTTCTAACCTCTAAAATAGGTCTTTCATAAGGTACTATGTTATTGATATTCTGTTAGAGATCTATTTTATTTTTAGGTCTGCTGTAGGAGACTTACCCAGTCGTACCAAACTTCACTCTCGCCCTGGTGGCTTCAACAACCTTGTGAGACGAAGCACCGACCTCCTCTGCAGGCTGCTCTAATAGCGTGCAAGGCTACCGTCTCATCGCTTTTCTTGTCCAGGATGGTATCCACCAGCCCGTGGTGCATTAGGGATACAGTACGACGGATGGTGTGGGGCTGGTGTCTTCTATCCACATAGCCGAGTACTGCAGGCGAGCAACGAACCGTTTCTCCAACAGTATCTGAAACACGACAGATTTTTGGTCAAGTTTCTGTACGCTGCCAGCTGCCTGCCTGCCTGTAATATACCGGACTAAGGGCATGTGAAGCTACTGTGAGCTGTTTTATTTATTTTTAAAACAGCTTTACTTATAAAGTTGTTTTTCTTCTCTCACAAAAATATGAGTTGGGATAAAGCTGAAAAAAATAGTTTATCCTAGTTCTCTCCCTTATTTCTCTCTCTCTCATCCATGCATAGAGTTGCTGGTGAAGCTGTTTTGCTAAATAATTTTTCCAAAACAGTTCAGTCTTACCTAGAAAGTTGCTTATAAAGCTATTTTTACTACTAAAGTTGAGCTATGACAAACAAGCTCTAATACTTGTATAGAGAATTCGAAATTTCGAATATTAAGTACTCCCCGTTAGCTTCCCGGAAGCGAAGTTCAACTGCGGCTGCCTCACGGCGTTGGAATTGGGTTGGTAGAGAGGAAAAGCAGTACTCCACTGTATGAGGTAGCCAAGCGGTCCAGGACTACACTGACAGTCTGCGTCGTCTTTCAGTTCTTCTCTGGTGCTGACTAGTTCCATGTGCCGGCCGGTACCTATCGGCATTTTCCACGCCAAGATTATGTACAATGAGACTACGCAGGAGGCGAAAGTCAATCAAAGAAAGAAAGTTGTATAATTGACATGTGCACGTTGACAGAAACAGATTCGATCGCCACGAAACCAGCAGCAGAAAAACGAGGCAAACGACCATCGAAATTGTCCTCTTAGATGGGCCCCGTTCGCTTCGCTCAAAAAATAAGTTGAAATAATGTTCCGACTGATTTGGTGTGGGAAAAAAACACTATTCCATCTAAAAAATAAGCTGAAAAATACGGATAGTACGGATTATAAGAGAATCGAACATCCCTTTCCTTTCCTTTGCTCAGCTCGACCAGCCTCTGATGACGACCCGATGCGCACGTCAGCTGCCACCTCCTCCCCCGCTTGGCCGCTTCACGTGCTCCGGAGCCTGACCGCCGGGCGCCGGCACGGCCGGCTCGACGACGCGGAAGACATGGACGCGGAACTCGGCCGCGCCCACGAGCTCGAACACGCAGTAGTCCCCTTCCTCGAGGCAGTTGCCCCGCGCGAAGGCGCACCAGCCGCGCGACAGCCGGTCCCTCGTGTTGGGGATGTAGAGCACCACCCGCGCCTTGCCGCCCGGGTCCCGGAGCACCACGTCCGTGCGCTCCCGCCGCAGGTGCTGCCGCGAGAACCCCGTCGGGAACCTCTGCAAGCGTGCACACAGGCAGACAGAGAACGCTTCCAGCATGTCAGTCGTCGTCACCACCGTCAAGCTGACCGAGTGATGGAAACAATGCAAGTAACGTCCTCACCATCATGAACGAGTAGTAGACGTGCATTGTGCTCATGCGGATGACGCAGTACGGCAGCGACGACCGGAACGCGTAGGCTAGCTCCATGGCGCGCTGCCGCTCGGCGCCCGTCACGTGCCACCGGCGAGACACGTACCTCTTGTAGCGCCTGACGGAGTCCGGGATGTCCGCGAGCGCCTGCAGGTCCTCGTGGATGCTCCTCGTTTTCACCGCGCGCCGCTTTTCCGCGCCGTCCTGGACCTGGGGCTCTGGGTCCGGGCCGCGCTTCGGCGCGCGGTCCTACGACGACGGCGGTGGCGCGGGGATCATCACGCACAGCGCTACCTCGTCGCCGTCCTCAATCTCGGTCTTGACCGCGCCAGCTGCCGCAGCACACACATTGGGTTGTAAGAATTTTTTTAAGCAAGTATAATAAAGTGATATGAGCGAGTCAGAAGAATGTGTCATGTCATTCATTTTTCTAGATTTTTAGTAAAATATTTTCCTATTTTTCTAGAGCTAAACCTAATTTATGGAAGCTTCTAGATATATTTTCACCAGCTCTAAATATTTTATTTGTGGCTCCCATGTCTCAATTTATATCTAGGATTTTTAATTTCTTGACATTTTATGGGCTTATAGATATTTTTCATAGGATTATTCATGTGTTTACCAAAAGTTTTCAACTATACAATGATAAAACCACCTCTAATAGAGGCAAGGAGTTAATTTAAATGGTTCTGAGAGTTGAGGGAGGAAGTTTGCTTAGTTTTTAGAGTTTGAGGAAATCTGGATTATAATGATAGTCCAAAGAGGCAAAAAAAGGACTTTTTTCTGAGAGTGGATTGGGTACTCAATTGAGAGATGGGATGACATTTTAAGTAGCTTGGGCAACGATGTGATCCTTTCCCATTCAAATTAGGCGCTGTTAAGTGGATTGCAAGCCATGGCTTCGGTGTGCTTGAACGGGAAAGGATCACCTCGGCCTTTGGTTGGGCTTATTTTTCCTGTTGGGCCTTTGGCCACAATACTAAAACTTTGCTAGCAAGATGACCCATGTAAGTGCGGCTAGTATGTCCTTTAATTTTTTTTATACAACTTAGCGTGAACTCTCATTTACTTTTAGTCTCATTTTTCTACTTCAAAGTCTATGGCTACATCACTGTTTATTGTCACCATAAGTATTGTCCCACCATAACTGATCTGCGCGCTATATCTCTCTTTACTGGTTGGTTAAAGCAATGACCTCAAGCTATATCTATGTGGCTAAGTTTGGTATAACAATTCATATTATCTTGTACAATTCACTTATGCATTCCTCTTTGTGTATTGATGGCCCCTCGGCATCCCTTTTTCATTAAAGGATATCAAAGTTCAAAGTTTCTTGTTAGCTTTACATATTACAATATTTTTAATTCCCAACTGGTCTTATCTTGCGATATCTTGCAAGCCTTTTTTTATGTTTGTTTCTAAAAACTCTTACATTAAACTATGTTCGATCTGTATTATATTTGAGATCAAAAGATAATTTGAATTGCTACTTTGAATCTCTTTTTATTCCAAGATGGAGATTCAATTACTTAGCCAAACATAAAGAAGCTATTAATATAGAAATAAATATTAAGGTATTTTGGGTTAATTTTTGCATGATAATACTGTTGAGTAATTTATCAACATGTAGAGAGGTACTTTAATTTTATTTTCTCCAATTAGTGTAGTACTACCTTTGTTCTAAATTATATATATTTTGGCTTTTTAGATATATATATTTTTATTATGTATATAGATACATCACATATTTTAGTGTGCAGTAAAATTTGTACATCTCAAAAGTTAAAAATGACCTATAACTTGGAACAAAGTGGGTGATTTATAGGCCTTCAAATTAATTATGAGGTTTATTTTGTGGCCAAATATTGATTTAGTAATTTCTAGGCCTTGAAAATTAAGTGGAGTCTTCTTTTATTGGTAAAATATTAAAATAATAAATTGGGTTGTTCAAGCCATAAACATGACCCCTGATTCGGGCTTACCCGATTCTGGCGTCCAATTGGAGCATGAAACCTGCTGCTCACGTGGCGCACGGTACGGCACCAGCTCCTTCCCGACGGAATCCTTGTTCGCCCGCTTGTTGTTCTGCCGCTGCCGGCCACGGCGCGGCTGGTCGGCGCCGAGCAGCAGGTCCTCCCGCTCGCAGGCCGTGGTGTCGAACACCATGGCGGTGAAGTGCGTGCCGCCGTCGTACCGGAACACGAGGAACTCGAGCTCCCGCAGCTCCTGGTCCTGCACGAACTTGGGCCAGCCCGAGGTGAAAAAGGTGCCCTCGGCGGACCGGCGGATGACCACCAGCCACGTCCGCCCGCTGGGGCCCTCCAGGGTGGCCGCCATGGACGCCTCCTTCAGGGTCTTGGCCTTCCTCGACGCCTCCCAGGGGATGTGCTTGCAGAAGTCTGGCGGGATCTTCTGCATGATGCATGTAACAATTAATAATTATTGAGTACATACAGTAGTAGCACTATTACCATATGCATTATTCATTTATAAACACAGCATTTGAACATGATTAACCGTGCATTTGTATAGGTCAACGAACAGCGACAACATCATTTTCTTGGCATGCGAAACATGCAAGCTATGCAAAAACTCATTTCACAAAGTGCACGAATGTCTTGCATTGCATGAGTGGCATTTTTCAGCGGCTTGGTTCATATATCTGCAACAAAAATGGTCTCTCGTATCATGCCAATCATTAATATAATCAAAACATGGGTTTGTTTGGTCCATGATCATAACCTGCCATGCCACAAGCCAGGCATGCCACAATTTTTTAGGTGTGTGTTTGATTCATTGTTGTAACTATGACACATCATAGTTTTTTTTAGTAATATGTCTCACACATATAGACTCATTTTCTTGTCAAACCTTGCAAAAAAAAAAAATGGCTCGTTTTTGCCGTAGTAAGCTGGGCGTGGCAAGTTTGGGCATTCACCAGGTCTGTGGCTACTACTTGTATAGATTCGCACACATGCATGCATGCATGCGAGGAAGCATTTTAACACAATGTAAACTGAGCCATCAGTCACTCACCAGGCGATTCTTGAAGTCGCCCATGAGCACCTTGAAGAAGTGCGGCCGCCTCTCACCGCTCGCCCACCGCGACTGCCTCTCTGCGGCCGGTATCCTTGCCTTGCCCACCTCCTCGATACGAGCAGCACACGACGCGCTGCTGCGGCGCAGCGAAGCCAGCAGAGCCCGGCGAAGGAAGCGAGGAAGGAAGCCAGCAGACCACGGCAAAATAACCGTGAGCCGACGTGGGGAAAAGAACCGAGAGCTCAGCTTTTGACGCGCGAGACGGGGGCAGTTTTTGGCCGTGGCGATCACTCATCAGCGTGACAGCGTCAGTCGTTGCGCCAAGTGGACACAGCCCCATTATATTGGGCCTGTTTAGTACAACTTATAAGCGACTTATGACCAAAATAAACTAAAATCAACAGTCAAACATCACGCTTATTCCCACAGCTCCCATATGTATTAAAAAGCAAAAGCTAGATCAAACCAGCTTATTTTAACCACCGTTTTTACTCTATTTATGTAGCTTATCTGAGAAGCGCTTCCTAGATAAACTATCAAACAGACCACTAGCTGGCCCCCGGGGTATCTGCACTTCTGCTGCAGGGTGCGAGCAGCGGAGGACCCTCCTCTCACTTAGGCCACAACACAGCCCCAAAAATGCTTGTGGCCCTCACGAGCGCAAAGAAGACACGTCACTGTCTTGCGGGCCCAACCTTAGGCAACCATAGTGTGGCCCCCGCATGCAGTGAAAATAGTTCGTTTGCATGCATATATACACGTGAGTAAAATATTGGCATAATGCTGGATACACACGGACACATGCACCTGATCATGGAATGTAGTAGTTGGAGTAGGATGCATCCCAATGTGTTGCTGTTCTACAACATGGTCTACAGATAGTTGTTTCGCTACACAATTATATCGTCTAAAATTATAGGCACCTCCTTAAAAGTTATGTTCTGATGATATTGTTTGATGTTGTTATACAGAATATAGAAGCGATACAATAATGATAGAGGACTCGTCATATGAAAATCTATATAAATCACGCCGTACACTCCAGTCACAGGAAAACATTTATGGGATATCGTGACACCATTGTTTAAAAAGGCTCGCCTTTTAGAAGTGTTGACTTAGGCCTGTTCGGCTGGTATTAAAGCCGGCTGATGATGTTTTGTTGTGAGAGAAAAATACTGTAGATTCTAGCTGATAAACCGGCTGATAAGTTCAAGCAAACAGGCCCGATTGATGGGATATGAAATTGTTGTCACATCAAGCACTCACCCCTTATCATTGATGGGTAAAGAAGAATTAAAGAACATGATAAGGAACCAATAATGGAGGTTTAAAGGTGTTTATGAATTATGAATATGAACCAAGAAGTATTTCTGTTGAGTAGGTTATTGGAGCATCTCTTGTTGCCAGTAGACTGATGAGCTTATGCCCTCGAGGCCTCAACATTTGGCCAACCTTTTTTTTATAGTTCTAATGGTGGGTTATACGCAGTATCGTCTGGGTGGCTTGGGCGCAACACGACAAATGGTTATCTGTTTAGGAATCCTCGCAGATATCACCGTACCAATATGAACCCACCTTTATTTCACCTTGGCTGGCAGCGGTACAATATTTGTAGGGTCAGCCGAAAGTGTGACAGTTTCACTTGGCCCGGCCACTCTAGGCGTGTAGCGCTATAGCCTGTTCAATCAAACGAACACCGACAACATCTTGCCACATGAATATACATGATTATCTGGAACTTTTGGACTAGGTACATTAAAAAACTGGGAACAGGCTTGGACTGGCTGACTCGGATGGGTGTAATTTAGCACCCCTAAAAAGAGAACCTCGGCACCCCTATCACATTGGGTCTGTGCTTTTGGAAACATTCAATAACTAGAGCCATTTGCCCATTTCAAGCAAGCGCGCCCTGACTGCCGCACAATTTCTCCCAGTGGGTTCTGTCGCGACAGCCTACTCTGCCCACAGAAGAATCTGTCCTCATCGAAGTAAAAAAAAAGGAGGACGAATCTTTCCTGGTGTTACCAACAAACACGCATACAACCAAGTACTTGCTGAAAACAATAGCAAATGTCAAGCAAAAAGCGTTGAGGTGAACGTAGACGCAGTACCGACGGAGGAATCGCCGATTCAAACTTTATTCCAAATTTATCCATCTCCGGAAGGACGGCAGCAGCGCCATGACTGACTAGGGTCCAAAAGCCTAACCGGAGGTATTTTACATCACATCGCAAAAGATAAACGCTGCGGAATACATAGGGGCAGAACAGGACGTGAAACAGCTATGCTAGAGAGCCCTGTTCGCTTGGCAGCCGTATTACAGCATGGAAGACTGAACCGAGTTGGAAATCTTGCAGTTGATTGATGCAAGGCTACTGATTGTACATAACTGGAGTTGATTCGCATTCAACGGTAGTTGCGGTAAATGGGGCTGTACATGCAGCTCTCTGCAAATTTCACCAGGTCCTTTGGCCGAGGGCGCCTGCTTGCCAAACCTACACGTGAGAAGAGTTGGTGATGAGCCAATCTTTGTTGATAAGAGCATAGTAATTTTACTCATTTTTGTTATGAGATAGGCGGATATGATGCTAACCAAGTTCATATGCCTTTGCTGCAACGTTGGCTGCAATGTGGGCAGAGATCTTCCTGATGTTTGAGAAGGGAGGATAAATGAGCCCCTTTTCAAAATTTCCTTCTGTGACCTGCTGGGCCAGAGCCTCCGCTGTTCCAAGATGTATGATCAAAGTATTAGCTAATTCAGCATCTACTTCAAAGAAGGCCTAAAGTGTGCATCAACCAGCAAAATTGTTCATTGGTTACCCATTATTTCACATGCGAATCTAGGTAATTCAAGTTGAAATTTAAACTGAGGCCTACTTTATATTGCATATTCTTTGGTTGGATTGAGCTCAAAAAGATAGAACCATATAGAAATGAATGCAATTATGGTGATAAGATGTGATGCTTTTATCTATAACTAAGCCCTAGGAGCACTTACATGCTGCTAGAAGCATGTCATCATGAACGCGGATAGCCCCAGACATCACCACACCAAGGCCAAACCCTGGGAAGATATAGGCATTGTTTGCCTGTAGAAGCAGGGTCAGTTCCGAACATTTAAAGCACACAAAATATCTGCAACAACATGAGCATGGTTCATCATCCATACCTGTCCGGGAACATGTATCTTTCCATTGTACTCCACAGGATCAAATGGACTCCCAGTTGCAAACACTGCTTGGCCCTGTGAATTCAGATCGTTACTGCAGAACCATGACTGATAAAAAGTTGACGTGACTGCTGACTGAGATCATTACCTTGCTCCATGTGTAAGCTTGCTCAGCTGTGCATTCAGCTTGCGACGTTGGGTTCGAAAGGGCAAGAATGATTGGTCTCTGTGGCGTTTAACAAAACACTGAGCTTCTAACCTTGTTGCCTCAATAGACTCAGAACTAACAAGTTGTGTTAGTGGAAGTTACCTCGTTAAATGAGGATATCGCTTCAACAACGTCTTTTGTGAAAGTTTGCCCCTTCCCGGATGTGCCAATCAACACTGTTGGTTTGATAGCCTGGAATGCCATTTGGGTCAGGGTACAGGATTGTAAAGATTCAGGTGTCCATGATAAATTATAAAATCCATAATTTCTCTTGAGGGCAAACTCATACGTTAACAGCATCTAAGAGGTTGTTGACTGGTTTATGCTCATGAGCCCATGGTTTCTTGAAGTGTTGAAGGGACTCCTTTCGTGTATTGACAATCAAGCCCTGTGCATACACAGTATTTACAGTTAGCAATAAGGAATAAATTGATGTTTTGAGACGAAGATAATATAATGAAATAAAAGTGAGGAGGCCCTCTTCATAAAATTGACCTTTGAATCAACAAGCCAGATTTTCTTGCGGCACTCCTCTATAGGAGCTTTCGTCTGCACATTTAGAAATTGTTAGGCTATCCAGACGTGTATAGCACAAGCTAGAAACAGCAGAAAAAACCAACAGAAAATGAAGAAGCACCTGACGTGAGATCTCAAGAGCTATAAGTTCAGCGATACCTGTCCCAGCCTGCAAGCAACAGCGCACAACTATTGATATGGGAAGAAAGATGGCAAACAAACCAACATTGGGATCTGAGAAAAATGCAGCCATAAAGAAATTGAGTTGAAAAATATATAAATATAAAATCCCAGGCATGGAAAGTTCTACTAATAAAATAAGAATGATATACGCTATTTTGACTACCGAATTGCAAATAGTAGAGTTGATACTAGGTTTGTATATAGCATGACCCGCTTGGAATAAAGAGGGGTAGATCAGTACATTACGTCCTGTATTTTATTAGATAACAATACCGTAGAAATCAGCATATAAAGACTACCTTGAAACTAAATATCTATTAAAGAATCAAAGAGAAAATGACCTCTCCAGCACCCAGGAAAAGGTAAGTGTGATCTGCCAATGAACCACCAAGTAGTGTTTGTGCTGCAATAAGGCCAGCAAGAACCACAGAAGCTGTTCCCTGCAATATATAAACATTACAAATTTAAGAAATAACTTTTTAATAAGCCAACTTGCATTTAATCTTATTTTGTAAATATCACACAGTAAGTCACATGGAAAACAAGTTATAAGGCATCAATAATACTACCTGAATATCATCATTGAATACAAGGTGAGTGGTGCCGTATCTTGCAAGGAGATCAAAAGCATTATGGTTGGCAAAATCCTCAAACTGCATGATAAACAATAGTCAAGCAAAGATGTAATAGGATCTCAGAATAGAAGTGCAAGTCTGGGATTTTTCATTTGTCAGTTGCATAAATTTCTGTTTCAAACTTAGCACCGATAATGTATAGAGGCTTCGTAGTATGGCCTTACCTGAATGAGCACTTTCTCCCCATAGTTTTGCTTCACAGCACTCATAAATTCATGCAGAAAATCAGTATACTCCTGAGTAGTACAAAAATGACAAATTAAGGACTTCAGTTTGAACTAGAACAAAATAGGAAAACAAGAAAAAGCACATGTTGATCAGTTGATGTCTTGTTACACTCCAACCTGGCCTGTGGCTCTTCTTTGTCTCAAGCCAATGTAAAATTCGTCATTAAGCAGCTCCTCATTATTTGTACCGACATCCAATGTGATTGGCAAGCACTAAAACATTATCAGGCAAAAGGTTCATTTGTGTATCATGAAAAGGTAGCCTGAATAACAGCATGAAGGTAGATATGAAAAGCTTACAGCAGATGGACGAACTCCTCCCAGGGCAGTGTAAAGAGAAAGTTTACCAACAGGAATCCCCATTCCCTAAATATATGTTCTCAATCAGCAGAAAGCCTGGAGATTGCTTGTCATCAATGCTCAATACACCTAGAACAAGATGCTACCGTACCTGGCATCCGAGGTCTCCAAGCCCCAAAATCCGTTCACCATCAGTAACAACTATAACTTGAATGCTCCTCTCTGGCCAGTTCTTCAGCACCTCAAGGATCTTTCCCCTGCACAACCAAATAGAACACCATATGAACCTGAACAGGCAATGGCATTCTGGAGACCAAAAAAAAAAACTATAAAGCAAAACTTACTTCTCCTTCAAACTGATATAAAGACCCTGAGGGCGACTAAATATGGATCCGTACTTTTGGCAGGCCTCGCCAACCGTTGGTGTGTACACGATTGGAAGTAACTCCTCGACATTGTCGATGAGCAGCTTGTAGAAAAGCCTCTCATTCCCTTCCTGTAATATGGTACGAGAGAAAAAGTATAACCAAAATGAACTCCCTATATCAGATATACTATGCTCTATGCATAACAAGGAAACTTAATGATCTGTCACCTGAAGGTCCATGAGGGCCATGTAGCGCTGCAAAGGCAACTGGTATTGTCGGATATTATTCATGATCTTTCTCTCCTGATGACATCAGAATACACTGGGATCAGGTAGGCAGACAAATTTAAACTGGTTCATGACAGGAAAGTATCGAGGATCGTTGAACCTGAAGCTCCTGGGATACAATAGCTGGTGGCAGAAGGCCACGGAGGTAGTGCGTCTCACGCTCCCACTCTGTGAACGCAAGTCCCTTGTTGTAACGGGGATCCCTCAGCAAATTGTAACCACTGCGATACACCAACCAAGAAAAAAATTTCACATGTCAAATTATACTGCCAAACAAAACAAAGTTGCTTTTGTCGAAACACCTATACAGTAGTGCTAATTTGTCCTTTCTGCCAGGGAATCACACATTCTATTTAGATGAAACAATCCTACCATAACCCCCCTATGAGCAAGCAAAGTAGACACCAGGTTAATTCGGTGAACACCTAGCCCCTGGGTTAACAAAATGGGAAAAGTAACATGGTATGATCAGATCCAAACTTGAAGCGTCGTAACTTATAAGTTCATAACTTAAACTCCACTTTTTCAGAGTGAATGAGGATATATTTTCACTGGCATCAATCACTGCAAAGTACTTGCTCGATCAAAACAGGATATGCAAAAAAAAAAAAACAGAAAAGAAGAAAATGATCTGAACAACACTAGGTCCGAAATAACACGGCATGAAGGTTGGTCGCACAGATTCCTCGTTTCAACACACGCACACGAGCTGTCGCCGGCGGAGAAACAGCGGAGCCCGGTGACCGCGGGTGGATCGATCAGAAACCTTACCCTGTACTAGCCTCGGGAACGAATCAGGCGATGCACACGCACGCACGCACGCTCACCTGGCGACGGAGACGGTCCAGGGCGTGACGAGCTGCTCCTCGGTGGCGCGGTCCTCGCCGTAGGTGTCCTCGACGCCGCCGGCCACGGTGGCCGCGTCGTCCATGTCCAGCACGCACGGCGCGTCGCTGCCGCGTATCCCCTTGAACGTGCTCTCCATCTCGCCGTTCGCTGAGGCCGCCGCCGCCGAAACCCACGTCCTGCCGGCGCACCACCACCAGGTCGCCGCGGCCGCTGGTCCTCCCTCCCGCTGCCACTGCCGCGGAGAATGTAGTCAACACTTAACAGAGGTGATGGCGTGGTTAGTGCGGGAGCAAAGCGAGATGGAGATGTTATTTAACGGCGAGGCGGAGGCGGGGGCGAGGGCGAGGGCGGGGTTTGCTGCTGGGTGCTGGCGTTAGCAAAGACTTTCGTCGGTGTGGTGGCGGCCGTGGGAGGGAGCAGGGAGGTTGACCGCGAAGTTACCGGGAGGAAGCGGACGCGAAGGGCGCGCATGGCCGCCCGACGAGCGGGCCCCACCGCCCACGACCCGAGGGGTGAGGGCAACGGGCAGCCGACGCGCGTCTCGCCCGGCGGCGGAAGGGGGTGGAGTGGTGAAGTGGGGCAGGTGGAGGCTGCTGCTGGCAACGTGGGGTTGGTGGAAGCCGACTGTCTGCGCCCAGCGCCCCGATGGCGATTGGTTTCTATCCTGTTTGGCTTCGGCAGTTCGGCGCGGCTCTGCCCAGTGTCGTTCGGTGGCGTGACAGCCCGAGGTGGGCTCAACAGATCATGGTTAAAACTAATCCATGTGTACTGATCTCGGATTGTTTATGGTTGAGGTGCGCCATCAGCGGTAACGAAATGGATAATCTCGGTGCGTTTAGCTGACTGACACCGACAGAAACGTTGCGAGACGATGCAGACACATGTGCGCTAAGCTAGATATAACCATTTTCCCATCCATGTGCAATGTTTCGAAACCATCAATGATTCCCCTCCCCGGGTCCCCGAAGCCCGAACTGCAGGACTGCGACTCTGCGAGACAGAAACGTGCGTGGCCAAGTCCAAAGGGGGCAAGGGCACGGGGGGGCAACCGGCCAAGGTTTTAATGGTCCTAGCAGTAGCCCTACTACTGTTCCTGTCAATGTGGTTAGCTCTAAAACAATGCGTCACCGTTGCGTGTCCGGTTCAAGCAGCGCTAGCTGCCAGTGCATCGTGAGTGGATGTGGATCATCCCGCAGCACGAGGCTGGACGTTAACGTTGAACGAACCCCCCTTTTTTTTTGGCAACGGAATGGATGATTCCGGCAATCCGGCAGGATAATTCCCGTAGTTTCCAGGCAGTTTTTTTTTTTTTTTATTTGATATATATATAAGTAGAGAGTTTCCAAGCTGATTGGTTGCTCCGGAAGGCTACAGTATTATAAGGATATGTCTGAAGAGCTCTATCTGATTCTATTCTATAGGAGAAATGATTTTGTGGCTAAAGCCCATGTTGGTTTCGCTGAAAAAGTATCGTTCGCTGATTTATTGTGAGAGAAAAACATTGTTCCTTCACTGAAAAAGTACAGCTGAAAAGACAAACGAACAGGGTCTAAATCTTTGATTCTTTAGCATAAGCTCTTATAATCACGATACAGAATCATCTCACAAAATCAGGAGAAACTACCTTTTCAGCTCTCAGCCTTAGTTCATTTCACATAATCACTTTACGAAATCAGCGGATAATCTCTTTTGTCTGAAAAACTGTCAGGCAGAGCTCCTACTGAATTCACTGGAGAATCAACTTTGGTAACTCTGCCAAACAGGACCTAAACTGCTTACATGCTTTGTTTTATTATTAATTTATATTTACGTATTAGTCAGCTACCGAAAACGCCCGGCTGAATAGCAGACTATGACCATGAAGGTCATATTCGCTTCTCTAATAATCCGTCTTTTTCAGCTTATTTTTCAGTCGGAACAATGTTTTCACTCTCATACCAAATCAGACGAAACAATACTTCGGCTTGTTTTTTCAGCGAAGCAAACGAGACCGATGCATTCTAAGCACGTTGGCAGGTGTACGAGCTGACAAAATGGCAAGAGCGTTTAGTCAGTCATCTCTTCGCCGATCATCCATGTAACGCATTATCTAATCATGCGCGCGAGAGTCCAATTAAATCGGGCAAGTAACAAGTGTACTATAAGAAACTTCTTTCCATGTAACGCAGTTATCAAGCAATTCATTGAGGTTGCATTCGGTGCTTGTCAGTCCACCATTCGGTGGTCTGGTCTGATATTCAACTGTTTCCCTCCCGTCATCCTTGGACCGTGCCCCAAGATACTTTCGTGTGTTTACTACCATTCGATGACTGCGTCTGCATGTATGTTGAACTGAAATGATTAGGAGAAGTTTATGGTCTTAACCTTTACAGGCGTGATTGCGTCGGCATATATTGAGGTGCACGGTATGAGAGCTTGACTGCAAAGCGTCGGAATAATAGGCTTGCCCATATTAATTTCTCACACTGTTCCAAATAAATCTCAAGGGCACGTTTTGCACTAGAAGAAAAGGTGGTAGAATGGTCGGTCCTACGTTGTATGTGGACGTGAAGATGACCTACTTAAATATCTCCACTCCACTAGGTAGTGTTTGGTTGGTGGGATATGGTGGGATGGGGTGGGATGATCCTTGTTTTCAGGCTGTTTGGTTGGGAGTCACGTAGGAATGAGGAGGTCCCCAAAGGGAATATTCGGCCGATATGCAGGGATGCCCCCGTAACCAAAAATTGAGGGGACGAGGAGGGACGAAGTGTGTCAAGTGGGACGTGCACATTTGGGAAAGAGAGGGGCGCGCGAGGACCAGGTCAAGTGGGGCGGCGACGGTGGCATGGATTGCTCCTGAGTGAGCACCGGCGGGCGGGGGAGGCGAGATCCGACAGTCGGGGAAGCGAGCTCCAGCTATCGGGCGGAGGAGGTAAGATCCAGCGGGCGGGCGAGGGAGACGAGCTCCGTCAGCGTGCCATGCACAGCGTGGCCCCGCTCATCCTCACAGTCGGCTGCGGGCGCGACAGCTGCTATGGCGGCCGGGCTCGCTGGGGAACGAGGAGCGGGGCGGGCTCGCTGAGGAGGAGACGCGGGGCGGCCTTCCCGGGGAAGGAACGAGGAGCGAGGCGGGCTCGGCTCCGGCACGCACGGCCGGCGGGTGTGAGCAGGCGCGCCCAACTCCGGCGGGCAAGCAGCGCCCCTAGGATGAGCCGCGACGAGGAAGGCGAGCGCGGGCAGCAAGAGGTGGCGCATGTGGGTGAGCTCCGGCGCCGGCCATGCCGCGCGGTTCATCTCTGCCGCCAGCCATGCCGCGCGGGCGAGGAAGAGGCGGCGGCGCGCGTAGGCCCGGCGGAGCAGGGGGAGGAAGAGGAAGAGTGAGCGAGGCGTCGGGAGAAAGAGATAAGGAGAGAGAGGAAGAGATAAGGAGAAGAGAAGGAAAAAGATTAAAAAAAAGAAAAACTTACAAATGGGTCCCATTTGTCGGTAGCTCATCCCACTTTTTATGTCTCTTAACCAAACATAAAATGGGTCGATCTCGTCCCTCGTCAACTAAACAGAAAATGGACCCGTCCCATCCCATAAATCAGAGACAGATCATCCCACCCCACCTTGATTCCCAACCAAACGCTACCTAAAATCATGTGTGGGGAAAGAGAAAAAAAACACTGCACATACGCGCTCACTCACCTCATCGAGGCGGGTGAAGAAGCACGGGCTACCTGCGTGAATGGTCAATCGAAGTTTGGTGCATGACCTTGGAGAAGCACGACCTGTTTTGTAGTTTTTTTTCTGCTTTGGCATTCAAGTCTATAAGTTAGAAATCTAATCGGTTTATGTGATTGCGACACGAGATCATGTATTTCCTCCTATATATGCAATCTATTGGCGACCTTCAAAAATCAATTTATTCAATCTCAGGTTCTGCTCCTTTCAAGTGGGTTTAAGAGCACCCCTAATAGTTCCAAACAAATAATTGTTAAATCAATGAGTTTTTCAAGTGGATAAAAAAGTTATGAGCATATTTATTGAATTTCTCCAACGGTTTCTAAAATCTCCCTCCTAAAATATAGAAGACAATTTTGCATTACGAATCCTAGACTATTTTCAAATCAACCTAACCACTTTTATACTTTCTTTCTCTCTTATACTTTTGCACTGAAAACCCTATTCTACTTCTTATTCTTCCCCACATCCTTCCACCTTCAGATTGGCCTGATCGATATGCACGCGTATGTTTCCGCGTGATCGAGACAATTTTCCAAGTGTGGAAAGATTGGAAGTTGAAATATGAAGTTGTTGGAAAACAATTTTGTTGGGGTTATGATACCTTGGGCATCTCAAGACACTGATTAGTTAGCCGCTCGAGCGGCCCATGACAACCAAGCTAGCACTGGCCCAACAACAGTGGCCCATCTAAGCCGCATGGACCTGGACCAAGCACTAAGGCGAGGGGTTGACCACGACCTCTCCCTTCTCCTTTCACTACGCGCAACCCAGCTCCGCAAGACCTCTCCTCCATCCCAACCCCCAGAAGGAACGGGGAGAGATCGTGCTCCACTAGGTCAGAGAAGGCACGCCCTGCTCACTCCGCCAGGACTGAGGGGACAACTATCCCCTCGGTCAGGACAAACGCCATTCCTACGCCATGCTGCGCAGACAAGACAACATCGCCAGACAGTGACGACCGGTACGGTGACCCACTGTCAAAATATGGCCTGACGAGATGGGCGTACGACCCCACCCACTATGGGATGGGGCTCACGGCTACGGCCTTGACTTCCAAGGCAAGCCAGGGCCTAGATCGAGGCTACCGGCTCCATGACCAGCAAGGCAATCAATGACTTGGTGACGGCTACCTACTCCCTCATGGTCGCCACGACGCCCCCGAGAGAACAAGAGACGATGACGAAGGCCACGACAAGCTCACGTCGCACAGGACAACTGGCGAATCAACACCAGGCCAACAATGCCATCACGACTAGCATTGTAGCATCACACCACACCATGCTGTGACGTGGGCACAAGACCATGACGACAACCATGCCTGGACGTGCGCTGACGCCAAGACAAGACGACCTTCCTTGCAAGCTAAGATAGCTAATTTCCCCTCCCTCAGACTCATGACTACTCGGTCAGGAGAACCTATCTCTT